AGGGTCAAAAGCACTATGAGTGCAATTACTTAGCGAAAAAATATTTTATTTATGCTACATAACCATAAGTAAAAAATAAAAATAAAACCTACAATACAAACAAGAGAGATGTTACAGTCCCGATACGGAACCATTCTGTTGGGGTTTATAACCATCAGTTACCTCCAACAGTTACATGATGATCTAACGATTATAAATCACAACGAAATGGTTATGAAAGGGGACCGTAGTATTTCTCTACAAATCAATACTCAATGTTTGGATGTATTTTTTTTTTAAATAAATGAATAGTAATTAATAATTATATTTATGCGTGTACGTATGTGCGCATGGTGTATGTATGTATTTTTATAAATTTCTAAAGTCCTTTTTGTATATATAAATTAATTTAAGTAATATTTTTGTCCCCTTTGCCTAAGAAAATATTGTCTTCTCTCTCTCACTCTCTCTGAAAAACCCCACCTTTACCCTAAAGACAAATGTTCATTTCTACATAAATCTCCTCCTCTACAGCACACCCTACTCAACAAACACCTCTCTCTCCTTCTCTCTAAAACACAGTACACTCTTTAATCTTTATCACCCACTTATCATCATCCTTCTCCTTCCTTCTCTCTCTCTCTCTCTCTCTCTCTCTCTCTCTGGGCCTCACAGACAGGGCAGAAAAATAATGCCCATCTTCTAACATGCACAGAAAAGACCATAAAAATCCGTTCTTTACGAGTTTTTGATAACTTCCATAGCCCGCGAAAGCGCATTTCATTCGATATCTTTTTGTTTCTGAACTTACCCAGAAATGGAAGAATCGAACGGCTTTGACTGTGGGCCAACGGACTTGCTCTGTGATGAAGAAACCAAAAGCTTGTGCTTTCTTGAAGACGACGGCGGTGATTTAGTGGAAACTTCCGATGACCGGAGCCACTTAACCGACGGCGATAAGAGCAGCGGCGGATCAGAATCCGGGCCGTTGATTCTTTGGCCGTGCCTGAGCGAAGATTGCATCCGTTGGATGGTGGAGAGAGAAAGTGCCCATATGCCCAGGGACGATTATCTCATGAGATTGAGGACTGGGGAGTTGGATATGGGTTTGAGGAGAACAGCTCTTGATTGGATGATTAAGGTCGATTTATTTTGATTAATTTTTCATTTTAGTGTTGTTCGTTGATCTGAATGGGTTCTTGATTATCTTTTGAGTCTTTGATCAAATTGAGTTTTTTCTATTGCTTTCTTTGTGCTGATTGATAGATTGTTACTGCGAAAATTGGAGTTCACATTTTCTATTGATGGGGTGTAGTAGATTTAGTGTTCAATAATCTGGAGATTTTCTGTATTTATGTTCATCTCATTAATGGTTCATCGGGCAATCTAATTGAAATGCATTTTTATACTCAAGCTATCAATCTACTCCATTAGTTTATTGCTAAACACTTCTGTAATATGAATTCTGATCTTTGACTTGCCATATATGTTCTGTGCAGGCTTGTGCCCACCACAATTTTGGGGAGTTGTGTTTGTATTTGGCTACAAATTACTTGGATCGGTTCCTATCGGTGTATAAGCTGCCCGTATGTTCACTACAATTAGTAAAACAATGTTTTATGGTTTTATTATTTTGTTTAGCATTTGACATTGGCAGGTATTTGCAAAAAAAAGCATTCTTTTTCTTGTTCTATGCAGTGCTGCTTTGATCTTTCATTTTTTGGTCTAACAAATTGTAATTATCGACAATTCGATAGGGAGGTAAAACATGGGTTGTTCAGCTAGCAGCAGTAGCTTGCTTATCACTAGCAGCGAAATTTGACGAGGTTAATGTGCCCCACTCCGTTGATTTACAGGTAACTTTTACAGCATTGTTATTTCATATTGGCTTCATGATGACTTTGCAAAGTAACTCTAGTTACTGAAACTTCAGATAGTACTTCAGAATTACAAATACCTGGCAAACTAACTCTAGTTAACTAATTATTTCTTAATTTATGTTGATGGGCTATTTGTTTGTAACGTGGGAGGGGCAGGCTGGGGAGCCAAAGTTCTTGTTCGAAGCGAAAACCATACAAAGAATGGAGCTTTTGGTGCTCAACCACTTGAAGTGGAACATTAAACCTTACACACCATTCAACTTCATCGAGTACTTTCACAGAAAGATGAGTGGCTCTGATGTTGAAATCCCATCAGAGCCGTTGATCACAAGATCAATTCAGATCATCCTGAACACAATTAAAGGTCTCATTTTTATTACTCATATTATCATCATATATTTGAGATTGCAATAATTTGACGTACGATATGGTCAATAGTCTTAAAACATGATGGAGCTTTGAATTCAGTGTATTGGTTGGAAAATTGAATACAGGTATTGATTTCTTGGAGTTCAAACCTTCTGAAATAGCAGCAGCAGTGGCTTCGTATGTTTTGGGCGAACAAGCCATGGACTTTGATAAGGCTTTGTCTGGTTTTCTCATAATAGAGAAGGTACTAGCATTTATCCTTTTATTAATTTGGTCCCACTAATGTATAATCATAAGACAAGACAATTTCCTTCTTGCTATGTATATCATAAATATCATCTTTATGCTATTTAGCAACTCAGTTCTGTTTCTTTTATTGTAACTTATCATTATGATCAACTTTATTGTTCTGAGCAACTTGGTTCTCCTTAAGCAAATTGTTTCTTTAAAAGTCGAGTGTTCTTTGCTAAGTTCTATTTTGTGGGGTTTATTTGCAGGGAAGAGTCTTGAAGTGTCTCGAACTGATTCAAGACCTGATACCAACGAGTGGGACTGCATATCCTTCTGATAGTAGAACTACTAAAGCTATAAATTTGGCTAATGGTTCGATTTTATCGTTATCCATTTGCGATAGTCCAAACGGAGTCTTAGACGCGGCTTGTTTGAGCTATAAAACCGATGAAAGAAAAAGAGTTCCTTCGGAGGCTATTCCGAACAAGAAACGGAGGAAATTGGACGAGAAGACGGATTTTGGGGGGTGAAGACATGAAATTCGAGAAAAAAATGTTTAAATTGTTTTCTTTATTAAAACACACACCCCTGAAAATTCCGAAATTGGTTTTTGGTACATGGTTCTTGAACAAGAAGAGGATGTTCAAGGAGAAAAACAAGAGAGATCCCATGAGAAGTAGTTGCTACTGTTTATGAATAATAATGAATTGTTATAATACAAAGACTTTTATGGTTTAGAGGTGACAAAGAAGCCCCATTATTTAAAGAAGGGGCTATTTCTTGTGAAAAAACAGAGAGGGTTCGGTTTTTATGTATTGTTTTTTAAGGTGAACAATAGAAGAGGTGAGGGGATTTAAGGGGATCAAATATTTATATATATAAATATATTTTTTTAATAATATTTGTCAATTTATTTTATTTTTCCTCTGTTAAATTAGGTTGTGAATTTAAGAGGAAAATTATTTGTGAATTTGAATGGATCTACATTTTTTGGCCTGTTTTCATTGGTGTTGTTTGCAATTTTAGTAGTATAATATAATATAATTTCGGGAAATGCTACGGTTCTGTTACGGAACTATTCCGTCGGGATTTATAATCGTTAGATCATCATGTAATCGTCGGGGATAGTTGATCTGATGGTTACAAAATGGTTCCGTAACGGGATTATAGCATTTTCCTAATAATCCCTATCATAAAATCAAAATAAAACTGTTATTTTCATTTAAAGAGCAATTAAAAAAACTTTGGTATAATTAGTTTGTGCTTATAAATATATGTAAAATATTACGTCATGTGTGTATTATAACACACGCCATATATAAAAAATCTCTATGTAACTATGTAAGTGTACAAAAACCCATCATAATAAAATGAACTACTGACTCGTCTTTAAGAAAAGGACATATGCATGCGTGGATCCGTAATAAAACGACGTCGTTCGTATTGTTTTCTCGGTTAATGATTTCATGTCGTGCTGTTTTTGGGATCTCAAATGAGGGACGTGGCCCGGGCCCGGGCCCGGGCCCGGGCCCGGGCTTTACAACCCGTGGTTCTGTGCCTGACTAGTCAAACATGTTACATTTGGTTTTTCATGTAAAATATTATTTTAATAGATACCCAACTTTTATACTTTACATGGGAAATTACAAAAAAAAAATCAAGTGAGGGTGCCACATGGAGCTATTAAAACAAATGAGTTGTTTGTAAGTTCACCTCGTTATAATTCAAAAATTGAGATTTTTATATTCTTTTATATATTGATTCAGAACGTGCTGAGTTTAGTGACACTCACATATTTTGGAATTCGACGTGGCAAAATTACATATTTTGTTATTAGGCTTGAGTAGATTTTAATTTACTTTGAATCCAAAAATAATTAGGTTCGGGTTGTCCATAAATATGTTAATTAGTTATGGTCATGTTATATTTATTAATTACATTTTGATATCATTTCTTATTACAACCATTGAATTGTAAATATTTTTTTAAATGTTAATAAAAAATTTTATTTTTATCAGTTTTACATATATAATGTATCAAATTAATCATCTCTCGATGAACTTCGGCTTAACATCCATATTGTGTGTATTAAAAAATAAATTATATTTATCTTTATAACAATAATAAAATAACACATGTAAGTCGCACAAGTAACATGTGTCATTCTAAAATATATAATAATATATATATTTTTGAAAAAAAAGTAAATAAAATTTAAAATAATTTTTTTAATTAATTTTAAAATTCAATAATATTTTTTAACAAGCACTCGTGTAATACACGAGTATTATACTAGTAATAATCTATAGCTTAACTCATTAATATTGACAAGCGAGCTAATGTCGAACTCGTTTAAGCTATATTTGGTAAAACTAGTTGATAGCTGATAAGCTAGCTTATAGTTTATCAGTATTTTTGAAGCTTAAAGCTGAATGGCTATAATTTATATGATAAAAATGTTTGGTAAATTAGTCGATAAACTAGCTGAAATAAAAATTTCAACGAGCTTATTTGAAAAGCTATCAAATTAAGCTTATAAGATAAAGCTTGGACTTTTTAAATAAGCTCGTCCTACCAAACGAAGTTCATTTAAACAAAAGAAGCTAACCAAACAAGTTATAAGTTAGCTTATTTGTCTACCAAACACAATCTTAGTGACTTATTTTGGTTAAACTCGATTCGATAAAAGCTTGACCCCAAACTCAAATATCAAAAGCTCGAGCGTGGCTCTCGGCTCGTTACAACTCTAATGGCACATGCCCTAATAAGAATTTTTGAGTGCAAAATGTACCTTTTGAAAATTTTCAAATTTCACCCCAATTTTGTCAAACACCCACAATCATCTCAATTGTGACACACTAATATGGTGCACCTAAATTGCAATTAAGTCATAAAATTCTGGAGAATAAAGCCTTTAGTGCAGAATCCACTACTACATATTATTATTATCAAAGTAAAAGAATTAATTAGATGGTAATGTAAAACAAATTCTCTTTATGTGAAAGGGATGAGGATGATATTATTTTTAACAATAGACCATAAATGGGACCTTAAAAGTGTCACACTTTGAACACTAAGACTCAGATATGAAACAGTAAAAAAAATAAGGGCATAAAGTAATATAAATTTGCCTTGATAGAATAAAATTGGCAGTAACAGCTAAGCATATGGTCAAAGTGAAATTTATAAATGTGAAAACTTTGGCCAATGTAGCTAACTTCTCATGCGGTGAGGGATCCCAATAACATGCCCACCAAATGCTAAAATTACTATATATATTCCATTTGTTAAGACACAATGAGCAACATAAAAAATATAGATTTTTTTTTTAAATAAAGGTGAAAATATAAAAATTCACAAATTCTTGCGTGACACGGTCTAATTGTTTAGTCAGATCGACTATTCATAATTTGTATGTTCTGATTGCGCATCGCAACACAAAAAATTAAAATTTATATTTTTCTTCAACTAACCTCTACAAGAATGTACATAGTAGTCGCGAACAATGGTCAATCATACAAGAAGTGTGAATCAAATTTTGAATTTTCTCGTATTAATAAAATTACAAAAGTAATAAAAGAGAGGAGGAA